ATGGTACACTTTAGAGAGAGAATGGTACACTTTAGAGAGAGAATGGTACACTTTAGAGAGAGAGTGGTACACTTTAGAGAGAGAATGGTACACTTTAGAGAGAATGGTACACTTTAGAGAGAGAGAGTGGTACACTTTAGAGAGAGAATGGTACACTTTACTTACATTCGTGCTGTTTTTTTTTGTTTTGTTTTTTTAGGTTTACCCTGTTTACAAAAAAACAACAAAGAAAACAAGAACAGCTTTTAGGTGTGTGCATCTGTGCTGGCCAGACATGTGTGCACATGACAAACGCTCACAGAAAAATCCGCACAGACAAACCGTTCACACGAAAATTGGGCACACAGAAAGTTCCACACACTTACTAATGCTTACACCGAAAATACTACACAAGGACTATTTCGGACACAGACCATTGCGGACACAGACATTTGCGGACACAGACAATTGCGGACACAGACAAATGCGGACACAGACAATTGCGGACACAGACATTTGTGGACACAGACAATTGCGGACACAGACAAATGCGGACACAGACCATTGCGGACACAGACATTTGCGGACACAGACAATTGCGGACACAGACTATTTCGGACACAGACAATTGCGGACACAGACTATTTCGGACACAGACAATTGAGGACACAGACTATTTCGAACACAAATAATTGCGGACACAGACTATTTCGGACACAGACTATTGCGGACACAGACAATTGCGGACACAGACATTTGCGGACACAGAAAATTGCGGACACAGACATTTGTGGACACAGACAATTGCGGACACAGACAATTGCGGACGCAGACAATTGCGGACATATTAATTTTATTTTAAGCAAAATTGTTACATTAAATAATTTTTTATCCTCATGGTTTTCAACATATTAATTCATAGCCATAGATTCTGACACAGTAATTCAGAGCCATAGATTCTGTCAAAGTAATTCATAGCCATAGATTATGTCACAGCAATACATAGTCATAGATTCTGTCACAGTAGTTCATAGCCATAGATTCTGTCACAGTAATTCATAGTCGTAGATTCTGTCAAAAGTATTTTTTTTTAAATTTACATTTCATATGTTTATATGTAAAAGAAAATGTATCAACATATAAAATAGTACTAAAATAAGTACTTAATAAAAGTAAGACTTTCTCAACTTGACTGACTGAACACAGCACATTACTGACAAAAAATTTTTATGATTGTAACGGAAATGGCTTTGAATTGTGCATAGTTAGATAACATTATTATTTCTAATAAGTAAAAACATTATTAATAGGCTGGCTTTTTAAAACTATTTGCTATTAGGATTAATATCTACAGGTTCTAATGGGGCCTTGCAAAATACAATATAATGGAAATAAATCAATAAATCATAAAATACAATTTAACAAAAATTAAAGAGTATGAATGTTTTACTTGGCCGACTTGAACTTGAATAACACAAAAGAAAATTTAATCTATTAAGCTGTGAAAATGTTTTTTTTTAATGGGTCGATCGATCACAAAAACATAACAACTAAACAATGGATCACAACTAAATTTGACATGATCATTCCTCCTGAACCTTAGATGGTTCCTGGAAAAATTTGTCGTAATCCACTTATCGCAAAGGTGTTCTTAAAAACCATCAATTGGAGAGAGTAAAGAGTGTAAACACTTGGTTTGAAATAGATTCGAGGGACGTCCCAGTTAAGTTATCTTTTGTTGGATGCATTTTAATAAGTCTTTTTTCAGAACAGCACGCTTTCATAAACTTTAAAAATAAAAAAAAACTACCGCAAATGACATCCGAACAGCTTGAGTCTAATGGTAGCCGGGTGCGAAAGTACGGCGCTGCTTGTCTGGGTCCATTTTGACTCCGTGCTATTCGCATGTCATTTGTTGTAGTTTATTTTAGTTGAACTGACGAAGTAAGTTTACAAACATAAAGTCCATTCAATTATCTTTCATTGGCTATCTCATTTTGTCTTACAAACCCAACAATAAAATTTAAACAAGTTTTTTAATCCCAACCTCTAACTTCTGGTACCCGGGTGCGAATAGCTGCGTCGTAGATTTTAATTGGACGACGTTTTGTTTAGATTTTTTAAAATTGAAATAATATTTAAATAAACGACTAATTTTTACAAGTTGTTTAAAGGATTTAAAACAAGTTACAGAATTTTACAACCAAGTTCTGTATTGTCCATCAAAGATATAACGATTATGATATTACCAGTGGTATCTACACGTTCATGGAAACTTTAGTTTCGTTTAGTTTTATGCTTTCCTGGGAATTTCCTCGGTATCGGTTGATATAACTTTTTTTTTTAAACGTTTCTATCTTTTTCTAGAAATTTCTAGAAAGTTCGCTCTTTATAAGGGTTTTCAGATTATATAAATGTCCTTTTTATGTATTTATGTTTATATAAGTTCAGTTGGTTTTCATCCAATGTTATACATTCAGATTCAAAGATATTTCTTTTGAAGTGTCTAGAAGACAAAAACGTATAATAGAAGGGGCTCTACATTGATTTTCCTTATTGCAGATTTATTTTGTGCATTTTTCAACCGATTCTAATGAGACAGTTTTAAAATAAAGTTTGCGTTTGTTATCCAAACTAAAATACCAACTGCTGTAGAAAGCTCAAAGATTAAGTTCTTTGTGTGTGTGTGTGTGGCGGGGGAGGGGGGCACCAAAAGGGAAGAATTTTAAAGGCAACGCCTGTGCAAATTCTTTCCGATTTTAAGAAGACAAATTTGAACAATTAACTTGAATATTTATCGGAATGCTTTTTATAGTTCGGCTATCTTAGGGATCACTAAAATGGACCCTTTTGGAATGGGGATCCTATTTTATTTAAAGGGCCATAGCTTTGGCACTGATGCATATATTTTATTGATAAAGGGCATCTATAAAAACTAATTGTATTTACATAATTTTTTACTATTTGTCTTTCCATAATTTGTTTACGAATCGTCTTTACATGATTTATTTACTAATTGTCTTTACATAATTTGTTTACTGCTGTATTTATACGATTTGTTTAGTATTTGTCTTCACGTAATTTTTTTACTAATTTTCTTTACACAATTTGTTTACTACTCTATTTACATAATTTGTTTACTATTTGTCTTTACATAATTTGTTTACTAATTGTCTTTACATAATTTGTTTACTAAGCCCAGCATGAAAATTAAAATAAACCGGTTTTGCCCAAAATATTTTTTTTACATTTTGTAAATGATATTTTTATACGAAAAAAATGAAAAACTTTATTATTTGTTTCTTTAGCGATGTTTTTGTGTGTGTGTGTTTTTTGTGTGTTTTTGTTTTTGTTTTTGTACATGGTCTGTAACTTCGATGTTATCTAATAGGCTGTACAAGTATTTTCGGAATGTAATCCTGGGTACGCCGGGTATATTAGCTAGTAATTTAAATTAATCCAGCTCAGTTATGGCCTAGGAGTACAACTATGATACTTCACTAGGACATAGTGCTTAGTCTATATTCTATGGAATAGTAAGCTTATACAATGTATTTTTGGTGTTTCGGCTCAGTTAGATAATCAGGATGTGGGTCAATATTGAGATGCAAGATCTGACCTCACAAATTAACAAACGAAAAGGTCAACGTAAGAAAACGCCTTACAGCTTCCATTGTATTTCATGGGCGCTACTCGCTTTTTAAACATATGACTGTAACAACTAAGACGTTTTGGGGGGCATTTATTTCATACTTTTTATTACATATTTGGGAATAGCCTTTTTAAAAAAATTAATCTTTATATTATTGTATTTTGAACTTTTGAGTCCAAGTGTATACATTTTTATTTCAATTGGAGACCAGGAAGGAATTGGATTGAAATAGAGACGCCAATTTTTGACCCACAGAGGACACTCAAGGGTCAGCGTAGGTCACTAGTGACCTACTGATCCCCAAGGGCTGTACTGTCAATGGGGAAGGGTATGCGTACTCCTTTTGGGGTCAATTGGACATCAGGAAGTGGGTCAAAATTGAGAGGCAAAATTTGACCCTGACAAAAAATGCCAGTTAAATAAAGCGTATAAACATAGGCTTCAGCGGATGGTGCGTGCGCACACACACACACACACACCCAAACACACGCACACACACCCAAACACACGCACACAAACACACGCACACACACACACACACACATAACATAGTCGTACGGATGTTTGTGTTTGATTTGCTTCGTAAGTTGCTTTTTTTTTTTTCTTTTGTAAATTCGTGTCCGTAAAAAAATTTCTCAGTTTTAGAATATTGTTTCGTTTTTAATAACATAGTCGTACGGATGTTTGTGTTTGATTTGCTTCGTAAGTTGCTTTTTTTTTTTTCTTTTGTAAATTCGTGTCCGTAAAAAAATTTCTCAGATTTAGAATATTGTTTCGTTTTTGTTTTAAGTTGGCAACTCTGATTAAAAAAAAAAAGAGAGAGAGAGAGGAGAGAGAAGTGTTGTTGTAAAACATTAGTTCACATGCCAGGTGCACATCACGGAGGTATTGGTCAACCTTTCACAAGCTGATAGCAGGGGTGGACTGGGGAGTTCAAGCGGCCCGGGAAAAAATCAAAAAGCGGCCCTAATCTTCATGACTTTTATTTTTATTATATCACCGGTCCTAGCGGCCCATCGGGAATCTTCCCGGTTTCCCGGCGGCCCAGTCCTCCCCTGGCTGATAGGCTACACTTAAAACAACACACGCGTATGTCCATCGTTACACCCTCTTGGAGCCTCTCCGTTCATTGAACGTTAGGATCTAAATTAAGTTATTTTTGTGGAAGATAATTGCTGAAAGTTCAATATCTCAGCGAATCAAGCGGTTACCAGGGAAATGTGAGGTTGTACACATACGACGTATAAAAAGTGTCCCTACCCGTTGAACACATTCTACATATAAACCAGTGTTCACATACTTTATATAAAGAGTGTACTGTGGTGTTGTACATAAATAAAGAATGAACGTAGCGAATTTGATGTTATCCATTTATTCCTTCAACGTTCTGTCACTTGTTCTATATTTAGCCACATGGGGGGGGGTTGCTTTTAAGAAAGAGAAATGAAATGCAAATGACAGTCAAAAGCTGATATACAGTTTGATATCTTTTATTATTGCGTAATAAAAATGCAAGGTATGCGTTCTTTCGTGTTTCGTTTGTGCTGACTAAGTCACCAAGATTTGAGCTCTGTACTTGGCTGAGAGGTTCTACTTGTTGTGTTCGTTGCCTAGTAACCGTATTTGACCGAGATGGTCTGCTCTCCGCTGTCGTAGTGCAGGGCGCAGCAGGACAAGATGCCGCCCTCGCACATGGCATCGCCGTACTTGCTGTCAATGGCGGCATCGGGGCACACCTGGAGAAAACAAAAATCGATAATTATTTTTTAATTTCGAAACCAAATGAACATCGAGCGTCGTGCGCATGCGTGATTATTTCTTTCTTGAAACGGTCTATTTAGTACATTGCTGTGATTAAAGACATTGCATTTAGTTACAGCATTATATTTGATAGTCTTTTGCTCTAAAATATTGCTGTAGTTTAAATCATGTTTATGCTCATTTCAAAGGGTCAAAATTTCGTCAATTTTGCGTCAAATTGTCGTCAAATTTAAATTTTTTGTTTGACAAAATAGTGCGCTCAAAAAGAAATTTGACGAATATTTGACGAAAATTTGATCGTGTGAACTGAGCAAGAAGGTCATAGTCTTGAATTGTTTTTATTAATCGTAAGAATGTATTAATTTTGTGTATCATCCTAATTATAATAAAAATAAATGTTATGTTAAAACTATTTTTTCTTTTATATTTTATTTAAGAGAAAAGTTAAAAGTGTTATTTTATATTTGAAAATACGTTTTTTATCGCTAGTTCACATTATCGATCGTCTATTGAAACATTTAACAAATACTTACAACGACGCCTCTACCAGCGAGTTCCTTCAGATTGGAGAATCCCTTTAGAGTATCAATGTTGATCTCGGAGGCAGTGCCTGGGGTAAGACGCACGTTGGCAATAACTCCTGGTGCACGGTCACCATAGCCAGCAGAGTAGAGTCCTCCACCATATCCTCCACCCAATCCTCCACCCAGTCCTCCACCCAGTCCTCCACCGTAACCCCCTAGGCCTCCATATCCATTGTAACCTCCGCCCATTCCATATCCACCGTCGTTACCAGCACTATATCCAGAGCCATAACCAGGATTGTATCCACCGCCGTAGCCACCAAGGCCTCCTCCTAGGCCTCCTCCTAGACCTCCTCCTAGGCCTCCACCAAGACCTCCACCAAGGCCTCCTCCATAGCCTCCGCCAAGGCCTCCACCATAGCCTCCACCAAGGCCTCCAATTTGGCCAAGACCTCCAATTTGTTGCCCGTAGCTTACACTTGGAGAACCTCTGTTTAAAAAAAAAGATAACTAGTTTGTTTTAAATCGTTTTAAAAGAGATTTCTTTATCATCTTATTAGAATCCGCCCTTCCTTTTTTTCGATAATTATTCATTGTGGTAAATATTAAAAGACGTTTTAAAAAATGATAAAAATATTTTATAATCATAATATAAACGCTACTTATTAGTAATAAGCGGTAACAAAATAAGAGTTACTTTGACAGTTTTAAAAATAGATAAATTGTCACGTTACATGATAACTTCCGCTTTCGATCTTATAAAACATCATGTCAAGCTGACCTTGTACGGAATAATTGGGTTTTTTGTATTGTAACAATTGGTAACTAGTTTAAAACCGGTTTCCGAAAAAAATAAACTAACCTGCTTGCCAAAATAAAAAAAAAAAAAAAAAAAAAAAAAAAAAAAAAAAAAAAAAATTTAAAAAAAAAAAAAAAAAAGTTTTTTTTATTGTAAAAATTGGTAAATAATTTAAAACCGGTTTCCAAAAAAAAAAAAAAAACCCGCTTGCCAAAAAAAAAAAAAAAAAAAAAAAAAAAACAATAAAAAAAAAACAACAGATTTTTAAATTCTTAAAAGTGATTCGACTTTTCAATTTGTCTCTATATAGTTGGATGTTTTATGCTCCCTCCCTAACCCAGTCTTATAGCCACGAATGAATTCAGAAACCAAGATTTTAGTTCAAAGATTTCATCAGCAAACAAACTGGTATCAAAATATGTTTTAAAAAAAAAAATCTATGAAACGTATCTCCTTAGAATGGTGTAAGCGCCCTAATGACATCAATGGAAAGGTCCTCGTTTGAAGAAATCTGAGTTCAATATCATAGAAATGTCTCAAGACTTTTAGTCAAGAAGCGAGACTACGGACTGCCACGAGAGCTTGTTAAATCATTTCCCCACAATTGGCTTATGAGGAATACCGTGCACTTAAGACAGTTACACAAACTGTTCCTATAAAATGCGACATTTTTTGATTACGAGAACGGTTAACCTACAATAAAAATCCCCATAATATACTTAGTTAGAGAAGATACAACAATGTATTAGCAAAAGTTTTTAGTGACACCTTGGCTGATTGCTTAGTCCATTTCTTTGTGCGTTTTCCCGTGCCCACCTCTGACTAATGAACTCGAATACATACGTACTGACTCCAAGGAGTACTTCGCATTAATTGCAAGCCTTGACATAGCCTACACAGAGCAGATTCATGATGCTACCTTAAATGTCCCCTAACTTACGAGTAGAAAAGTCCAAAGTCTTCGGCGTAACAACCTCTCTCTGGTCTGGCCCGCTCTGTAAAGGCGACGGACACAGGTCCACCGACAAGAGAGAAGAGATTGATGGTGGCAGAAAGTCCTCCACCATATGATCCACCACTGCCGCCAAGATAAGGAAACAAAGACGGGCTCATCTGGATAGATTTTAAAAAAAAAGAAATGTTAGCTTATCATTAGAACCCAAGTGTTTGTTTAATTTGAAAGAAAAATATTTCTCCCCAAGTCTTTGTTTTGAGTTGCATTAATTTTTAAACATTTCTTGTCCTTTATCTTCTTTGCTTAAGTCTGTTGGCTTCCATATTCCATCTTGAAACCATGTTTGATCGTTGACAGTTTATAGTTTTCAACATCACTGAGCAGAACTATCTCAAGCTTTCGCTAAACCCAGTGAGGATGAATTTAGAATAAAGTTTAGTCCCAACTAAAAATGTTGGTATTTTTTCAAATTTATCAAAGCTTGCCTTTACAAATAAGCCCCGTAACTAGGCAAAAAAGTTTGGAGTGCCATCAGTCACCAGTCATCAGTCACTAGTCAGCCCGGGTCTTGCGTTGTGGCCATCAGTTAGCCCGGGCCTTGCGTTGGGGCCATCAGTCACCAGTTAGCCTGGGCCTTGGGTTGTGGCCATCAGTCACCAGTCAGCCTGGGTCTTGCGTAATGGCCATCAGTCACCAGTCAGCCCGGGTCTTGCGTTGTGGCCATCAGGCAACAGTCAGCCCGGGTCTTGCGTTGTGGCCATCAGTCACCAGTCAGCCCAGGTCTTGCGTTGTAACCATTTCCAATTAGCTATTCTTTTTGATTTAGACATGCAACACGTTTTTCGTGTTCATACCCGTGATTCCTTATTAATGTATCCACTTGTTCATATCTTGACTGTTTGACGGGCCGTGTGAAATGTGTGTGTGTGTGCCCATTTTCACAGCTCTATTTGTTGATATCTCTCCTTTACTGTTTATCAATTCCTTCATGTCTCTTTGTTTTTATATCTAAAACTGCTCTAATCTCTACTGGCTCAAATCGCTAATTGTTCTTTGATCAAAGTTGAATTTTGTGACACTTACCCCGCCGTAAAGTCCTTGTTTTTCTTTAATTGTCACAGCAATTGCGTTGACAATACCGGAAGAGGGTTTGTAGCTGTCTGTAAAGTTGACTGCGCATGTCAGAGTTATTGGTCCTATAGAAATAATTAAAGCAACATTACACGTTGTCTCAGCAACCTAAAACGTTGTCTGTTCAACATAAAAAGTTGTCTCGGCAACATAACAAGTTGTCTCGGCCACATAACAAGTTGTCTCGGCAACATAACAATTTGTCTCATTAACATAACACGTTGTCTCGGCAAGTAATTGTTTTAATCGAATTAAATAGTTCATATAAATTTTCGATAGCTCTATATAATTTTTTACAGGGATGAAATGGCTCAGGGACACTAAGAGAATGTTTGCCAGGGAGGTGCAAGCTGCCGGCGGCATCATGCACTTATATGAGTTTTGTTGCTAGAAATGCAAAGCACCATCGAATTATTATTTTTTTAAATAGTCCCTTACCACAGTAACGGAAGGGAGTTGAAATATTCAATGTTAAACACAAATGTCCATACCTTTGGCGTATCCTTTTCCAACAGGTACGAGTGGAAGAATGGGACCGTAGCCTCCGAATGCGGAGACGGCCTGGATGCCGACTACGGCCAAGGTCACGAAGGAAGCAAAGATTAAGTGTGCCATGGTCTTACAGCTGTGTTGTTGTTGTTGTTTTTTTTTTCTCTATGAATGGACGGGAAAACAAATAGTGTTATATTTTTAAGTTATCCACGTTAGAGTTTCAAGTGATAAAAAGAAACCTTCAAATATGTTTAAATAGTTCTTCCTGCAAAAGGACAGACGAAAATAAATGATACACTATTATTTTTCTAAGTTTTAATTCACAAATAAAAATATAATCAACAGCCACAACGAAAAGGAAATCAGCTAATAAAAAGAAAAAAAACCAACTAAACATATACTCACAAATTCACTATTACTTGTAAATAAATATGTTGCTTTTGTCAGTTAGTTTTAAAGTTACTTGATTTAGATATTTAAAAAGAATAATTCGTTTCCAGCTAAAGCCTAGGTTCAGTTAATTAATGACTACTTCTAAACGTCCCGCCCAGCAGACCGTTCTAACCTCTACTGAAGCTAATCACCTGGTGACGACCCTTATCATTACCTGGTTACGATCTCGTTACTGTAACACTGTGATCACTGATGACTGTAACAATTTATACCACCCATCAAGCCTCACCCACCTCAAGGAGCCATCACGATCCTCACACCGGTTCTACTTCAAGGAAAGGCAACGCCTGGGGGGGCTTCCGAAGTACGGGGGCAACTGCACGGGCTGGACTTCATGTATCATCAATAACAAATTATTCTTCCATTAGGATGGTTTCATATCTATTTTTTGCTATAATTAACAATCTTATTAAACTACGTAGTAGAGTTACCTTAGTATTTTTGATAAATTAATTACGACTAAATTCAACTTTTAGAAGGATTTTTTTTTTCATGGCAGGAAAGTTCGCTTCATTAGGTTTAGGTATTCAATTCATCTTTAAATATTGCCTAGGTATTACAAGCTGCTTTTTTTAGCTAGTTTGTTGTTTTTCTAGCTAGTTTCTTGTTTTTCTAACTAGTTTGTTGGTTTTTTTTTAGCTAGTTTCTTGTTTTTCTAGCTAGTTTGTTGTTTTTCTAGCTAGTTTCTTGTTTTTCTAACTAGTTTGTTGGTTTTTTTTTAGCTAGTTTGTTGTTTTTCTAGCTAGTTTCTTGTTTTTCTAGCTAGTTTGTTGTTTTTCTAGCTAGTTTCTTGTTTTTCTAACTAGTTTGTTGGTTTTTTTTTAGCTAGTTTGTTGTTTTTCTAGCTAGTTTCTTGTTTTTCTAACTAGTTTGTTGTTTTTCTAGCTAGTTTCTTGTTTTTCTAACTAGTTTGTTGTTTTTCTAGCTAGTTTCTTGTTTTTCTAGCTAGCTTCTTGTTTTTCTAGCTAGTTTCTTGTTTTTCTAGCTAACTTGGTACTTTCTACATAGTTTGTTGTTTTTCTAGCTAGTTTGTTGTTTTCTAGCTTGGTTTTTGTTTTTCTAACTATTTAATGTTTTTCAAGCTAGTTTATGTTGTTCTAGCTAATTTGTGTTTTTTCTAGCTAGTTTGTTGTTTTTTAGCACATTTGTTGTTTTTCTAGCTTGGTTTTTGCTTTTCTAGCTAGTTTGTTGTTGTTCTAACTAGTTCGTTGTTTTTCTTGCTTGGTTGTTATTTTTCTAGCTAGTTTGTCATTTTTCTAACTAGTTTGTTGTATTTTAGCTGTGCGTTGCTCTTCTAGCTGTGCTGTCTCTATTAAAGCTGGTTTGTTGTTTGTTTTTAATACTTTTTGTAAAGCGAGGGATGTCTGGGTTGATACTAGACAATTATTTGTCAGTTTGGTCAGCTAAGATACAATCTTTTGCAATCAGAGGCATAGATAAATATGAATGTAAAAAATAAAATTATCACAATGATCACCAAGAGCTTCGGTAAACACAGAGATACCTTTTTAGGTGTGTGTGGGGGGGGG